GATGAAGAAGAGCTGTCGCCGCCGCGCTCACAAGGACTTCGGGTCAACCCAACGTACGCTGCAGTCACCAACGCCGAACCTACCGGGCAAAACACTTGGTTCTTGGACAGTTGTTGCGGCCAACATATGTGTTCTTCCGGGCGCTTCGTGCAACGAGAGCGCCGTCTCAACCGCGATGTCATCATCACCGTCGCCAACAACGAGAACCTGAAAACAAACAAACAAGGAGTGGTTCAGTTGTAGTCCATGGAGACGAACGTTATACTGCAACTCAACAAAGTTCTCATCGTCGACAATTTGGGATACAACTTACTCAGCGTCAGCCAGTTAATGGCAAAAGGGATTCACCTGGAATGCGACTCGGACTCGAACAAATTTTGCCTTTACCACGGGAAGGGCGGTCTTTTCATCGGTCGCGCTCTCCTAAAGTCGGGAGTCTTCGTGTTGGACTTCGTCCCCGACCCCGGAACTGCCGACAGCGATGGAATCGTGTCGTTCGCCACCTGGACGCTCCCGCCGGATCTTGACCACGACTTCACCCCAGATGGATTCTGGTACTCCAACACCATACCTGCAGCCGAGAGAACACGAGCATTAGCAGTCATTCGACAAGAAAGACAAGTACCAGCAAGCGTCCCTTCCACGACATCACCTGCAGTAGCAGCAGCAGGACCCAGCCGAGTACCATCACCAGCAATCCGAGGACCGCCAACCGAAGCAGATCAACTTATGCCCATCACACGAGAAGTCTGCCGCATTCCCGCCACGGTCGTCACGTTCTTCTCCAACACTGACCTGTACCAACGCTCGCCCGGCCATCGCACTCCCGACGACATCTGGCACCAACGCCTCGGGCATCCTTCAAACAGCAAAGTTCTACAAACCATCCAAGCCGAAGTGTTAGAACGAAACGCTCTTCTTACAACGAGCGGCCAAGAACTTCGACGACCACGCGCACGATTGTTCACGTGCCCCGAAGCTGATCTTCCACACCAACCTTTTCCATCACATCACAACCCAAGCGCACCTGCATACGCACCGATGGAAAAAGTTTACAGCGACATCTTAAACATGCCTCGAGACGACACTGAAGCCGACTTCAACTATGTCATCACGTTCATCGATGCAGCAACAAGATATGTCTGGCACTACAACCTCAAGACACGCGATCAAGCTTTCGAAGCCTTCACGACGTGGCTCCCCATCGCTGAACGAGAATCAGGAACTAAGCTCAAGAGCTTCCAGTCAGACGGCGCACTGGAATACCAGTCACAACGATTCAGCAACTACTTGGCGGAAAGAGGAATCAGGCGCCTGGTGTCTCTACCCTACGCTCACCAGCAGCAGGGGGTCACAGAAAGAATGAACCGGACCTTGCAGACGACGATGCAGAAGCTGCTCCTGGGGATGAGACTGCCAAACACACTGTGGCCAGACGCAATGACCCATGCAGTCCACCTGCACAATTTGTTATCCTCGTCCTCGCTTCCCAACAACGCATCACCGCACCTGCTGTGGACACGAAAAAGGGGCAGCACAAAATTACTTCGGGTTTTCGGCTGCATGGTACAGTACAGACCCCACACAGCCCGAGCAGGACGCTTCGCTCAACGAGCACGATGGGGACTACACCTCGGCATCGCCAAACATTTTCAAGCATGGAAAATACTCGACATACAAGACAAAAATACAGTGGCATCACGTGATGTGATTTTCTACGAGCGACTGACGCTGCAGCATTACCTGGACAACGTCGCTAACACAGACGACCCCACCGACGGCTTCGCGGGCCTTCGGTCCTTCGCCGACCGTGCCGCCGAAGCTGACACAGCAGAAGAAGACGTACCTGGAGCTTCGGAAGCTGCCGGACCACTCCCTTACTGTTCCGTGCCTGTTCCACTCGACGACGACAATCCTCTCGATAGCAACAACCTCGACACCCATTACCACTTTGCTGACCAAGGTTACGTTACACCTCACCCGGTCGATACGAATGTCTCAGAACGCATCGGCCCAAACTTCTTACCTGATCCAGATGATGGTGACGAAGCAGCCTATTCCGGGAATGAAAAATCCCCTCGACACACACCCACGGGACTGCAGATACTCGGCTTATGGGTCTCCGTCCAGCACCCGCCGCCGCCGTCTCCGCGCGAGCCAACGACTCTGTCGCAGGCTCTGGGGGGGGAACATAAGGCAAAATGGAAGGAGGCAATGGAAAAGGAATTGAAAGCTTTGCAAGACCGAAATACATGGAAGCTGGTACCTGCAACGAACATCAACGGGAAGAATGTACTCTCAGGAAGTGGGTATACCGCATCAAGACTAATGCGGACGGCTCCATCGAAAGATTCAAGGCTCGATGGGTCATACGAGGTTTCGATCACGATACGGAACCGACTACACAGAAACATTCGCATCGGTCTCCCGTCACACCTCCTGGCGCATTCTACTCGCCGTCGCGGCCACGAAGAAACTACCACTGCGCCAGATCGACGTCGCAAACGCCTTCCTGTACGCACCTGTGGACGCTGAGATCTTCGTCGAGCAGCCCCACGGTTTCATCGACGACCCTACAAAAGTATGCCAGCTGATAAAATCCCTTTACGGGATCAAGCAAGCTCCGCGGCTTTGGCAGCAGCATCTTCACGGTCGCCTCGTCAGAATCGGGTTCCTACAGCTGCCGCACGACCAAGGCATGTACAGACTACAGAAGGAAAGGGGTTTTATTCTACTCATCGTCTACGTCGACGACCTGCTCTACATCGGCTCTACCACCGACATCGCCACCTGGTTCGAAGGGGAGCTGAGAAGTGACTTGACACTCACGGTGTCTAACACCGTGACCCAGTACCTGGGTCTGAACGTCGTCGAAGACAACTCGACGTTCTACCTATACGCTGGAAAATACGCAGGCGTTGTCGCGAAGAAATTCGGACTAACACCAACTACAGTCACGACGCCCTACCGCTACGGGAACAACAACGACACCTCCGCAAAACTCCCCGCGAAGCAAATCTAGGAGTATCAACAGAAGCTCGGCTGTCTACTATTCGCAGCAGTAACCTGCCGACCGGACCTATCTTACAGCGCGAGCCAACTGGCGACGCATCTGAAACAGCCGGAACAAGAAAATCTCGAGGAACTAAATCGGGCACTACTCTACTTCGTCTCTACGCCGACGACCGGACTTACCTACAGTAAAGCAACAACATCGTCCGTACAACTGCTCGGGTACGTCGACGCCGACCACGCGGGAGACAGGGAAAATCGACGATCAAGGACGGGCTACATCTACCGACTAGAGCCTATCGGGACTATCTCCTGGCAGTCGAGCAAGCAGGAACTAATCGCACTATCTTCGGCTGAAGCAGAATATATCGCCCTCTGCACTGCGACCAAGGAAGGACTTTACCTGCGAGAGTTGCTCGAGGAAGCAAAGATTGCAACCTTGCCCTTCTTCTCACTCTTCTGCGACAACCAATCCGCGATCAAAATCGCGAACAATGACGGTTTCGCAAACCGAACCAAATACATCGCCCTACGGTATTTCTTCATCAATGATGAAATCGCGAAGGGGAGACTTCAACTCAGTTACTGCCCCACGTCAGAAATTGCTGCAGACTACCTGACGAAGAAACTGGCGAAAGCAAAGTTCGACTACTGCATGCTACTGACCGGGCAGATAAACGTCGCCGAATCTGGACAGGTCAGCACTCCAGAAACGAAGGGGAGTGTTGGAAATATTTCAAGGACTTAAGCGTTTCTGAAGTGTAACACTACACTCGAGGAAAGTCGTAACGGGTACGCGAGTCAACGGAGGTTACACGAGGGGACGGACAAATAACACGAAAGGACTCGAAGGGTCGCAATCGGAGGTTGCGACTGACCGTTACAACTGCAATGATGGTAACAGAACTGTCAATCGAGTCGCTGTGCGTCTCGATAAACCGCTCTTTTAACTGTATTCTACAACTGCTTTACTTTCGTACTTTCTATATATTGCTGTATGCTTGTTTCCTTTAATCAATCACTTGTTCTCATATACTAGTACAAGGGTTCAACTACTCAACTTCCGCTGCATTACTCAAAGTCTCCTTTTACAACTGGGACTTAGTCTCTGGAAAGATCCTAAGGGCATTTCTCAGCCCAACAGAAATGAAGGTTCAATTCGAGTTCGTCATGCAAAATGCCCTCATACAGGGACCTCTCCATGCATCCGTCAATCTTGCGTATGAACCCCACCCCTGCACATGTCACACATCCCCACACCATCACCGATCCTTGTCCACATGGTTTACCGTCTGTTTGATTTGGTGGTGTTGCAGGGTTGTGCCTTCATGAATCCAGGCAAACGCGCGGCCATTGGAGCCAAATCAGTTGACGCTGGTCCCATACAAATAACATAAATATTCGTTCGTAACATAATGGTTACATTCTCGAGAGCCTCACAGATTGGCATCTGTGCGTGGAGCAATGAAGTTCCAGCTCACTGCGGAGGGCTGCCCAACCAGCTCATGCTGGCGAGTCAAGGATCCACATAAGCCACAGCCAATCGAGCTTCCGTGATTCGTCAGCCACGCTTGTGACAGTCTCGTACCTCCCTGCTTCTAAGCCAACCAATAGTGGCAGCCGAGCCGAGCCTCTTTGGTGGGTTCGGCACGCAAGCTTCTTTTCTGGCCGAGGCAGGCTTGCCTGGCGTCGGTTTGGGCAAGTGGGCGCAGCTTCACGAGATCCCCGCGAATCACTTTCCTCTCTCTCGGCTCGGAAGGGGCGCCTCCCTCCTTGCTCGCATTCTAGGCCCAGTGTCCCTTCGTCCCCCAAGCGATGTGTGCGGTGGTGCACGGTGCAACAAGTTGTGAACTGGTTCGCGTGCTTACCGCTCTGAACCTCGAGTCACCAAACAGGACCGAATGTACAGGCCTCCTTTGTGCCATGCCGTGCAGCCAGCTTTGTGAAGCCGCGATGGCTCAAATTCATTTCGCTTTGCTTGCATGTGGTTGTCAGTTTCGCCACTATTCCCGCTGCTTCATCCTCCTCTACCGTCGGTTTCGGTACTCAGTGGCTGGTTGCGAAAGTGACAAGTCGTGGCTAGCGTAACATTCTAGTCCTGTCTACTAGTGGCCCGCTCAACGACCTTAGCGTCAGCCCACTGATTCTCGGCCCAGCGTGTCTCGCTCTGCGCTCTGCGGGCCGACTGGAGCATCGCGCCGATGGTGACCATCGCACGCGCCGCGCCGCCCTCGGAGAAGGCGAAGCCGGCGCTGATGTCGCCCGACACCAAGCCGCCGCCCCTCCAACCGAAGCGCGCCGTCGACTCGACTGAGAGCGGCGCGCAGGTGGTGGCGGCGAGGAAGGCGGCGGTAGACGCGCCGCCGGATGACGCGCTGGCGGCGCGGTTCTCGGCGCTGCGGTACCTGGCGGGCTTCGGGAATCAATTCGAGAGCGAGGCGCTGCCCGGCGCGCTGCCCGCAGGGCGCAACAACCCGCGCGTGTGCCCGTACGGGCTGTACGCGGAACAGCTGACCGGCACCGCGTTCACCGCGCCGAGGCGAGAGAACCAACGCAGGTGGGCGAGGAGCGAGGGTGATAGGGTAGGATAGAGGAGGGAGAGTGAGAGTTCAGACGAGAGACCCATGAAAGAATTCGTCCGGTCTGGGCCCCGCGCACCTGATGATGCTTGCTGGGTGATGCTTGCTGGGTGATGCTTGCTGGGTGATGCTGCCATCCCGTGCGAGCGGTCCACTCAATGGCTCTCATGTCTCTCCGCACCCCGTGGTTGCGCGATTCCCGCACCTCCCTCCCATGCTCGAACGCGCGCCCTCGTCCCCTCCACGCCTTTATCCCTCCCAGGAAACCACACCACCTCCACCCCCCCCCCCCCCCCCGCAGTTGGCTGTACCGCATCAAGCCGTCCCGCGGTCCACTCAATGGCTCTCATATCTCTCCGCACCCCGTGGGTGCTCGATTCCCACGCCTCCCTCACATGCTCCAACGTCCGCCCCCTTCCCCTCCACGCATCCCTCCCAGTCAACCACACCTTCTTCCCCTTCCCCCTTCTCTGCTTCGCACCTCCCCCCCCCAGCTGGCTGTACCGCATCAAGCCGTCCGCGACCCACCACCCCTTCGTGCCGTGCGACGGCGCTCGCACCAACCCCGTGCTCGTGAGCGACTTCAGCGCGGGCGGCCCGTGCGACGCCACGCCCAACCAGCTGCGGTGGCGTGCCACCCAGATACCCGAGAGGGAGGAGCGGCACGTGGACTGGGTGCAGGGGCTGGCGACGGTGTGCGGCAGCGGGGCCGCGGCGGACAAGACGGGCTTCGCCATCCACATGTGCGTCCTGCATAGCGCTGCCGTCAGATACCCACGTCTGGCCCCCTCCCACCCTCACCACCCTTCCCCCGCACTCCCCTCCCCGCTCTTCCTCCTCGCCCCCGCTCTCCCCTCCCCTCCGGCTCTCCCCCCTTCCACCCCATGCACTAGCCGCGTCTCTCCCTGCTCCACTGCCGCTCATGCTGCCCGCGCACTGTCAAGCGTCGCCTGCACACATGCCTCTCATGCGCTGTATCTGCTCCCCACGCCCCACCTCGTATTATGGCATGGCATGGCATGGCACGGCACGGCATGGCATGGCATGGCATGGCATGGCATGGCATGGCATGGCATGGCATGGCATGGCATGGCATGGCACGGCATGGCATCATCAGGTACGCAGCAAACAGCAGCATGGAGCGATGTGCGTTCGCCAATGCGGATGGCGACCTGCTCATTGTGCCGCAGCAAGGCCGTAAGTGCCCCACATGCCTTCCACATGCCTTCCACATGCCTTCCACATGCCTTCCACATGCCTTCCACATGCCTTCCACATGCCTTCCACATGCCTTCCACATGCCCTCCACATGCCCTCCACATGCCTTCCACATGCCTTCCGCATGCCTTCCACATGCCTTCCACGTGTCTTCCCATCAACCACTGGCTGCCATGGAAAGAAGCATCTGTTCCCCATGTCTTGCGGCGGGCACCAGCCCTACCACCGCCCGCACCACATTCAGTACTGCCCTCCACGCCACTCTCGTTGCTCGCCGCCCCGCTCTGTCCCGCCATGCTCCCAGGCCTGTGCCTCGCACCGGAGGTTGGCCTGCTGGCCATGCGTCTCACTCAGGTGGCTGCGCTGCAGCAGGCGGGGCGCGCTGAGCGGCGCACCTCATTCCATGCGCCGCCCTCCTCCCTCCCCCGCCACCCTCCCTGCAGGTCTCTGGCTCACCACGGAGTTCGGTCTGCTGGCGGTGCAGCCGGGCGAGATCGCGGTGCTGCAGCAGGGCGTGCGCTTTGCAGTGCGCCTGCCGGACGGCCCCTCCAGGGGCTACGTGTGCGAGATCTATGGCGGGCACTTCCAGCTGCCCGACCTCGGCCCCATCGGTGCGTTGCTTTTGAGATGCTCGCTCACGTGATCGGATCGCAAAGCCCCTCCCAGGTGCCAGGGGGCACTTCCACCTGCCCGACCTTGGGCCCATCGCTGCGTTCCATGGTCACTTCTGCAGCTTGGCCTTGGCGTCGTTGGGTCATGTGGAGTCGCTGTGCCGCCCGTCTGAGTTTCGTCCCCGCCTCTCCGCGCCCCCCTCTGCCCCCACCAGGAGCCAACGGCCTGGCCAACCCGCGGGACTTTCAGACGCCCGTGGCGTGGTTCGAGGAGGGCTCCGCTGCTGCTGCCTCCGATGCTGGGGTGGATGCGGTGCAGAGCGGTGGAGCGGGTGCGGTGCAGAGCGGTGGTGGGTACGTGGTGGTGCACAAGTTTGCGGGGCGGCTGTTTGAGGCGAGTCAGGACTTCTCGCCCTTCAACGTGGTGGCGTGGCATGGCAACTACGCACCCTACAAGGTACTCACAGCAACTACGCGCCCTACAAGGTACTCACGGCAACTACGCGCCCTACAAGGTACTCACAGCAACTACGCGCCCTAAAAGGTACTCACGGCAACTACGCGCCCTACAATGTACTCACGGCAACTACGCGCCCTACAAGGTACTCACGGCAACTACGCGCCCTACAAGGTACTCACGGCAACTATGCGCCCTACAAGGTACTCACAGCAACTACGCGCCCTAAAAGGTACTCACGGCAACTACGCGCCCTACAAGGTACTCACGGCAACTACGCGCCCTACAAGGTACTCACGGCAACTACGCGCCCTACAAGGTACTCACGGCAACTACGCGCCCTACAAGGTACTCACGGCAACTACGCGCCCTACAAGGTACTCACGGCAACTACGCGCCCTACAAGGTACTCACGGCAACTACGCGCCCTACAAGGTACTCACGGCAACTACGCGCCCTACAAGGTACTCACGGCAACTATGCACCCTACAAGGTACTCACGGCAACTACGCGCCCTACAAGGTACTCACGGCAACTATGCACCCTACAAGGTACTCACGGCAACTACGCACCCTACAAGGTACTCATGGCAACTACGCGCCCTACAAGGTACTCACGGCAACTATGCACCCTACAAGGTACTCACGGCAACTATGCACCCTACAAGGTACTCACGGCAACTACGCGCCCTACAAGGTACTCACGGCAACTATGCACCCTACAAGGTACTCACGGCAACTATGCACCCTACAAGGTACTCACGGCAACTACGCGCCCTACAAGGTACTCACGGCAACTATGCACCCTACAAGGTACTCACGGCAACTATGCACCCTACAAGGTACTCACGGCAACTACGCGCCCTACAAGGTACTCACGGCAACTATGCACCCTACAAGGTACTCACGGCAACTATGCACCCTACAAGGTACTCACGGCAACTACGCGCCCTACAAGGTACTCACGGCAACTATGCACCCTACAAGGTACTCACGGCAACTATGCACCCTACAAAATACTCACGGCAACTACGCGCCCTACAAGGTACTCACGGCAACTATGCACCCTACAAGGTACTCACGGCAACTATGCACCCTACAAGGTACTCACGGCAACTACGCGCCCTACAAGGTACTCACGGCAACTATGCACCCTACAAGGTACTCACGGCAACTATGCACCCTACAAGGTACTCACGGCAACTATGCACCCTACAAGGTACTCACGGCAACTACGCGCCCTACAAGGTACTCACGGCAACTATGCACCCTACAAGGTACTCACGGCAACTACGCGCCCTACAAGGTACTCACGGCAACTATGCACCCTACAAGGTACTCACGGCAACTACGCGCCCTACAAGGTACTCACGGCAACTATGCACCCTACAAGGTACTCACGGCAACTACGCGCCCTACAAGGTACTCACGGCAACTATGCACCCTACAAGGTACTCACGGCAACTATGCACCCTACAAGGTACTCACGGCAACTATGCACCCTACAAGGTACTCACGGCAACTACGCGCCCTACAAGGTACTCACGGCAACTATGCACCCTACAAGGTACTCACGGCAACTATGCACCCTACAAGGTACTCACGGCAACTACGCGCCCTACAAGGTACTCACGGCAACTATGCACCCTACAAGGTACTCACGGCAACTATGCACCCTACAAGGTACTCACGGCAACTACGCGCCCTACAAGGTACTCACGGCAACTATGCACCCTACAAGGTACTCACGGCAACTACGCGCCCTACAAGGTACTCACGGCAACTATGCACCCTACAAGGTACTCATCTGCACGTGCGGTCGCTGTCACTTGACTCGCCTGTCACTGTCTCAGCCCTTGGCTCGTGTTTGCATGCTGTAGGTCCCGTGCTCTGTCCGCTCCCACCAATTCTCCCGCCTTCATTGACCCCCCCGCCCATCTCCCTGTCACCGTGTGCCCGTGAGCGCCCCTCGCAGTACGATCTGCACCGCTTCTGCCCAATGAATGCAGTGGCGTTCGACCATCCCGACCCCTCCATCTTCACTGGTGCGCCCCTCCAACCCCCAGTCGCGTCCCCCCCCTTCCCTCCCCCGCCACTCCGATAGTCCTCACGTGCTTCACCTCTCGCCCCAGCGTGGCTGGGGACTGTGCTCCTTCTTCGCCCCTTCACTCACCTTTCCCAACCCTCCCTCCCCTGCCATACTGCGCAGTGCTCACGTGCACCACCTTGTGCCGCAGCGGGAATGTGTGCTCTTCCCGGTAGCAGTGAAGCCGCCATCATCATCCCCCTCCGCTCACCTCCCTCCCACCATCCTCTGCAGTGCTCACGTGCCCCACGGCTCGCCCCGGCGTGGCGGCGGTGGGATTTGTTGTCTTTCCAGGTACCCTTGATCCCGCCATCCTCGTTGTGTTCGGTGAGCACTGTGCAGGATGGGGGGGGAGGGAGCCTGTCACTCACCTTTCCAGGTAGCGGTGGCGATCGCCGTTGCTTTCTTCCGCCTCCCCTCCTTCCCCCCACTCGCCATTCTCCCCAGTGCTAACGTGCCCCACGGCTCGCCCCGGCGTGGCGGCGGTGGACTTCGTTGTGTTCCCGCCGCGGTGGGCGGTGGCAGAGGGTACCTTCCGGCCGCCCTACTTCCACCGCAACTGCATGAGCGAGTTCATGGGGCTCATAGCGGGGACGTACGAGGTGAGCTCGAGGGGCTTATAATGGGGATGTACGAGGTGAGCTTGGGGGGATTATAACGCGATGTATGAGGTGAACTCATGGGGCTTATGACGAGGAGATGTGAGGTGAGCTCATAGGACTTATTACGAGGTGAGTTCATGAGTCTTATTATGGGGACGTATGAGGTGAGCTCGTGGGGCTTATAATGGGTTCATGAGGTGAGCTCATGGGCTTATAGCGGGGGCATATGAGGTGAGCTGATGGGCTTATAACGGCGCATATGAGGTGAGCGCATGGGGCTGATAACGTGGACGTATGAGGCTTCCTCGTGGGGCTTGTAATGGCAACATACAAGGTGTGGTCATGGGCCATATTACGAGGATGTATGAGGTGAGGTCATGAGCCATGCAACGAGTATGTATGAGGGGAGGTCATGGGCCATATAACGAGGATGTATGAGGTGAGGTCGTGAGGGTTATAGCATGTGAGGGAAGCTGATTTGGCTTTGACGCATGTGTTGTGAGGGTGCGACCGTGCGAGCGCTGCAGGAGGACTTGTGCACAGGGGGTGGCAGCAAAGGAGGGGGACCAGATGCGTGTTAGGGTGTTGAGTGCAGCTGTCACATGCATTCCTTGACCAAGCGCTCTCAGGTCCTGCTGTGGTTCTGCCAGCCCATGCCTTCACACATCCTCCCGATTTCCGGCACCACTCATTCCGCACTGCTTTCCCCGCGTGGTTCCTCTGCGCACCTGTCTTGCACCTACCCTTCTGTATTATGACCACCCTCCTTGCTCCCCGCACATGTGCTCAGGCCAAGGCGGAGGGCTTTGAGCCGGGCGGGGCGAGTCTGCACAGCTGCATGACGCCGCACGGCCCTGATGCTGCCACCTTTGAGGTGTGCGCTGGCCTCTGCTGTGGCAGGGCTCGTGGTGCCTCTCTGTTCACTGCTGTGTGTGGGCATTTCTTTTTGCCCTTCCATGCTGCTCTGCCCATCCGTGCCCCCATGCCCGTCCATGCCCCTGTGCCCATACCATATGACCTCCCATCCATCCATCCATCCCATGCATCCCATCCATCCATCCCATGCATGCCCCCCCCTGGCAGCGTGCGGTGGCGGAGGAGGGCAGCGGCGAGCCTGAGCGCGTGCACGAGGGGTCGCTGGCGTTCATGCTGGAGTCGTGCTTCACGCCGCGCGTCACACGCAACATGCTCGCCTCGCCCCTCCTGGACGCCCACTACTACCAGTGCTGGCAGGGCCTCCGATCGCACTTCAGGCGCCCCTCACCATGATTTTGTTTGTCAACTCCCATCTGTCATATTCATATTGTATATAGCACTCAACGTGATCTTAGGGTTATTTGTCCATGATTTCTTTTCTGGAAACATCGCTGCTTTGGTGTAAATAGAATGGAAGGGTACATGAATTTGGCCTAAATCAATGGCAACTTTATGTGAATTCATTTTGTCAAGTTAGGGTGAATTCCTACAAAGTAGGATCAGAATCAACAATGTTTCTGAACCTGCTGTTTTACAACATGCAGATCAACAATCGGCAAAAGAGTCGCAAGCGAGAATCAGGGACCAAACAGCATGTATCCAGGGCTGACGTTTAAAAAAAAAGCACCCTGAGCTGTTGAATGGGGAAAAAATTTTACCCTGAGGGCCTAGTGTTGGTATTTTGACTTCCCTGATTTCTCAGTGTTCTGGAACTTACCTACAACCCTGAAACCTCCAGGGTTGGCTTGCAACAATCAGGGTTGCATTGCACTTGGAAAAAAATCAACTAGGAATGTACAGCTACTAGTTAAGTAAAAGCACCACTACGCCACGCCAGTCTACAAGTCCTCTATCTAGTCTAGACTTCACAATATTCCACGCCACTAGCTACACTTGACTAAAATTCTGGGCCATCCATGTTCACTTCGTCTTCTGCGTCGTCATCGGACAGAAAGGGGTTGTCTTCCACTTCAGGAGCCTCTCCCCCCACTGCCCCCACTCCCCCCTCCTCCTCTCCCTCATCCTCTGCCCAATCCCCCATGTAGTCGGGGACTGCCTCCTCCTCCACCCTCACTTCTGCCCCCTCAATCGCCTTCGCCTTACGCTTCCTCTCCGCTGTGGCAAACAGAACAGACTTAGCAGGGCGCCTCAGCTTCTCGCGCCAACACCCAAGGGCCTCGTCCCAGTCAGTCTCGTACTGCAGCAGGGAAATGACCATCAGCTCGCTGAGGCGCGCATTGCACAACGTGCCCCGCACCCATGACTTGATGACGTTCTGCCGCGAGAAGCCTCGTTCACACTCCACTGTGCTAAGCGGCAGGACAGCACACGCCTGCCACAAGCGCATGAGGTTGGGCCAGCGCCTGCCAGAAGGGTTGGGGGAATAGAGTACACGGAACAAGACCAGTGCATTAGCAATGCTTGTCAACAATCGATAAACAACTTATAAAGGAAACAATGAAACCGCCCAAAAGAAAAATCAATAATCGTCCTTCGAGCAGCACTCTCTCACAAGGTCGACTCCGTCGAGCCGAGGTAGTTCGTCAGGCCTTGATGGAATCCTTCGTCGGCATGGTGGCTCAGCATCAGTGGCGCCCACGTGACCAGCTCCTTCTGCGCAGCTTGCAAGGAAAAGCCTGTCAGCCTGTTGTCGAACAAGGCACTGCAGCCATGTAGGTACTCCTTCAGCTTCTTCTCTCTCTGCTGCTTCATCCGGGGCCACTTCGACACGCGGAAGAGCTTCGTCGGGCCGAGATTGTTCAGGTCCAGCATCCTCGTCTTTAGGAAGCTTATCGTGTCCTTCGCGAATTGCGCGCAGAGCCGCTCGCAATCGGGGTACTTGCTGCGGAAGGCATGCCCGTCGATCTGCTTCTCGTGCATGGTGTAGGTGTGCGTGACTGGGTTGCCGTCCTTGTCGATGCCCCGCACCTTTACGCGTTTGCCCCCTCCGCGCCCGTAGACCGCCAAGAAAGCCGAAAGCCACGTGCCTTCGACACCCCCACCGAACACCTCTCCGCACTCCAAGTAGCGGTGGCGGAGGTCCCCTGTCGCCTCGTCGATGTTCTTCGTCACTTCGGTGACATCGACCTGGTGGACGTGACAGACAACGGAGTGGAGTCAGAGGGTGATTCCAAACGTGCATGCATGGGACAAAAATTACAACATCCAGTGATAGAAGCTCACCTCCCTCTTCTGGAATTTGAGGTTGAGCTCATTCATCACTCCGAGGACGTCGGCCAGGAAAAAAAGACAGAACTGGAACTTGTAACAGATGACGACCTCATACAGCTCATGCCCGTACTCATAGAAGAGAATGATAGCGGCGCCGAGGACCTTACAAAGGCGCCTCACAGCCTCACCCCTTGAAAGCCAGCGCACGGTGTGAATTCTTTGCACTTCAAGGTTGGTGTTATGTATTGCCCGCAGCAGGTACTTGAAGCGTTGACTCCAGACACATGAACGTCCCAGAAGATCGGCCAGAGTCCGAATCACAAGGTCGACCATGTCGAAGTCTGGAGAAGCAGTGGCCGCGTCCTTCACCGCCAAGGCTTCCCTCCATGGTGCACACAAAGGAATTTTAGAGAAGCAGTTGTAGGAACCCTAAGCGAATCAAATGACAAGCGGTTAAACCTGTGGGCGATGCAGTGCGAAGAGACGAGATGGGGGATGTGCTCGCGAAGTCGGGCGACGAGACCGTTGTCTCGGCCGACCATGACAGAGGCGCCGTCGGTGCTCATGCCGGTGATTCGGGAGAGATCGATGCCAGTTGCTTGCAAGTGAGCCAGAAGAACGGCGAGGAGTGACGCGGCGTCGCACTTTTCGACGGTCAAGAGTGCAAAAAACTCAGTCACAACACGATGCGCCCGCAAGAAGGTCAGATAAACAATCAGATGTTTACCGCGTGTACGGTCAGTGCTCTCGTCGCAACTGATGCCGAGGTAGGGTGAGGCGACAATGTGTTGCATTTGTCGGCGCTGCAGGTAGGATGCCAAGCTGCTGACGAGCTGACAGAAGCCATACCTGTAGTAGCAGAAGTGACAACAAGGTGTTGGTTAGACCTTTTTGAAAAAAAAAGGACATGGTGTACTTCGAATAAGTGCATTACCTTGTCAGGTAGACTCCGTAAGACTGCAGCGGAATGTCCGGTGTCTCCTGCTCGGCCATGAAGCGAAGTAGCCTCGGGTACATGCTGATGGGTGCATCACACTTGCACAGGAAGTCGACGCAGCGTAGGAGCCTCATGACGCGCTTCCCTTCGATGTCAATCCGCGCGTAATTCTCCATGCGCCTCTGGGTGCTGGCGATGTCTTCGGCGATCTCCATCTGACGCTTGACGGCTACTTCGTGGGCTGTCGTGTGTTCGTGGAACCGCATCGCTTGCGTCTGCAGGTCACGTGCCCCGTCGCGGCTGTTGGAGTACGGTGTTGTCTCTTTGCCGAAAGCCTTGCACACTCTGCACTTCAAAGCAGGGTAACCATCTTTTGTTTTCGTTAGCAGAAGCCAAGGGAAAAATGGAAGCCAGCTGGTCTTATACTTGTGCTCAGCCATGAGATACTTCTGCTCGATGAGTTCCTTCTTTGAGAGCTTCGGCGGCTCGGGTTCTGGAATACCAGGGGCCTGAGGTTCAGGCGACGAGCGAGGCGGCGACGGTCTATGTAGCTTCCCGCCGAGGACTATCGTGCTCTGGGTGTACTTCCCGACGCGTGCTTTCTTCCCAGATGAAATCGTCGACGCACACTCGACCGTGTAACGCACGGTCGTGGCTGTCTCGCAGTCTGGAACCAAAGGGCCCCGGCTAGATGAAGCGACAGCGGGCGGAGGTACATAGGGAGCGGCGGGAGTAGATACGGGTTGTGATGGTGTAAGGACTGCGGTGGGAGACCGCAAGATGTCTAGCGCGGATCTACGGACCTCCAGGGGGGGGTCCCTACCTAGTTAAGAACTATCGTCGGCAGTGGGAGACTCACCAGAGTCTCCTACATCCGCCATGGCTACAAGCGGCGGATATGCTGAAAATGAGAAATCGGCGCGACGAAACTAGAGAAGATTGAAGACTGGAGCATCTCGCAGCTGTGACGTGAAGAAATGAAAAAAACTGGGTTGGAGGAGGAGCTGGTGAAGAAGACGGGAAGAGGACCAAGAAGCCCCATCTTTCGATTTTCATGGATGGTGCATAACCCATCCAGGTTCCCGTATCGCCATGGCGATACCGTCAACGGCGAAACGCACCTGCGCTGGCATCGTTTGCACATAGATGATTGGCGGGGTGATGTCATACAGAGGCTGACATTGCCGCGCTCATCGTATTCTGTCCTCGTCTGCTGCGTGCTGAGTCACAAATGCCAGTTGACGGTTGCAAATGTTGCTGTAATGGCAGCATACAGCGTGTACACGGCGGGAATCTTGCCGAGTGCAGATTCCCCACGTGACGCATGCTGGGCGTGTTCAATGGACTCGGTCCCCTTGCACCTCCTCCAGTAAGGTTGGGAGCAAATCTGACCAAGGGCCAATCAGCACCTCCCCTCACACGGCCCCAGCACACATCGAGCATTTATTTTGACTAAGGGCCAGTTAGCCCTCTCACACTGCCCCAGCACACATCGAGCGCAAATTTTGGCTAAGGGCCAGATAGCACCCTCACCCAGCTTGTGTCACGCATCTGGCGCTGATTTTGGCTAGCCAGACAAGGCTTTAAGGGTAGTTGCCTTGCTGCCCTGTTTCATCAGGGCTGGAGGATCGCAAACCCGGTTTTTCAAAGGGTAAAATATTTGCTACACTTTTTGGATAAGGGTTATAAAATCGCAAACCCTGAAAAATCAGCCTAACTAAAAAAACTACCCTGAAAATCAGGGTAATCAGGGAATTTTACCCGGATATGTTGGGCCCTGGCCCAAACCGACCATCGAAAACCAGTGAGCCAATCACAAGAGCCCGCTTCCATCCAGCATTTCAACTCCCACCAACACAGCCTGCTCGTCGCCCAGATGGCATGGAGCACATGCCGAAGAGTCATTCAGCGCTGAATGTCCAGAGCAAATACAAAGCACCTAGGAGCGGGAAACAAACGCCATACCGCACCTAATCGACAGAGCTAGGAGCAGGATTAGCGATAGTAGCCAACCATGGAGCCCAGCAAGGCTCTGCCTTTTATCGCCCACCTCTTAATAGCCTTTTTTCGGCTGGTACTACGAAACTTGGCTGACAAACGCAGTCCGCGCAAGCATAATGCACATACAGGGGAGGGCGGAAGCAGACGGGCCTCAAAACGCGGGCGAGAGTCGTGCACAGTGCAGGAAAAGAAGCGGTATTACCGCAGACGCCACACCGAACTATGACAGGAAGAACTTGACTCGCTCACTGACAACGAATTTCAAGACCTCTTCAGGATCAATCGGGAAATCTTAGACCATATTGAAGAAGGCATGTGCCATATACTGCGTCCGTACATAGCGCGCG